CACTTGCCGGCCCCTAGAACATCCAGTTCTTGATCAATCAAGATAAACAGCAGTCTACAGACTACTCCCTGGCAATCATTTCTTCCTTGTGCTTATTACATACTTCCTCAGGCCCAAGTAAGTGTGTAACAAGTAAGAAGTGCGATTTTGAAATCTGACACATCTGAACTTGAATCCTCTCACATTCTTGCTGTTCAAAACATGATCTTTGTACCAGATACACCAGCATCCCCTGGGAGCTTATCAGAAATGTAGTATCGCCGGGACCAGCAGTTAGCGTAATGGCTATGTCGCTGGACTCCCACTAGTCGACCGTGATTGGAGTCTTTGACATGCGCCGGGCGCGTGTGTGTGCATGCCCAAGATCCTGAGAGGAGAATGGAGGAGAAGGGATTGTGGCATGGCCATCCCCCCTGGAGGGTGATTTCTCACTTTCTGTCTCTCTGTCTCTCTCTGTCTGGTGAGCGCACACGCGCCCTATTGCAAAAACCTCTCCAAAAAAAAAAAAAAAAAGAAATGTAGTATCGCTGGTTTTAACAAAATGCACAGTGATCTGTATGCACTTAAAGACTGAGAAGCAATGGCATAATTACTTACTAGACACATTTCTTTGGGCAAATCCTAGAGACTCTCTAAGATCCACTTCCCTCATTGTAAAAAGAGACTAACAGTGGTGTCTAGACTTACTGTGAGAATTCATTAGATAATGCTACTTAGTAGGCACTCAATAAAGTCTAAATAGTATAAAAATTTATCATATATCTCAGATTCGAATACTCTAGACTTTTTTCTACTATATTTACCTATCAAATTATAAGGTACTCCACACAGATCAATTAAAGCTCCTTCAATCCAGATTTCTCCGAGTATAAGCTTATAGCAAAAATAGGCAGCAATGAATAATTCCACCTTGCATTCATTTACAATATAATGCAGCACCTGTTTTTCAATTATCCTCAAAATATTTCTCTTCTAAATAATGTGTTTTCCATTTTTGTAGAATCAATGAAGTTAAATAAAGAATTTACTTTGAAAACAAACATGAATCTTTCTCCCTGACATAAAATCCAACTAATTCTACATTTAATTAGCCATTGTGTCTTCTGTATTTTGTCATCGCACACTTGTGATGGTAACTGATCCCCCACAGGATTCAAATAATACGCCAGGTGTCTTGAGCATCTATTCCAAATGACAAATAAAAAAAGGACAATCTCAATAGGCTTATTTTAATCTAATTAAGGGAAGATACAAACGATTTCATTCAACAACCTTTTCCAAGGGCCTTTTATGTCCAATTATCTTCTTCCTACATACAGTGGAAAACTGTAAGCTGAGAAAATTAATATAAATAGAACAGTTTTGGTTGTCATCAGAGTACTAATCCCTTAAGCAACAAACATATACTTTTATTAGGTAAGGTTTTATTGCAAACATTTACATCTTTGAATGTTTAAAAATGGTATTCCTATTTTCAAAATTGAAGATTATAATGCTTTCTTAAAAGTTTACTTATTTTATGATAAAGAGACTGAGAAAGTCAAGCAAGCTCAAAAGGGTCCTACCATGCCATTATTCTCCCCCTCCCACAAGCCTACCAGGGACAGGATCACAGGTGTGCCATATTTAGGTCGACCTGGGAACTGAACCTACAGCGTACCATAGTGCTCCAGTATCACATAGTGGTACCTTATACCCCGTGCCATTGCAGTCGAGCCAAAGAGAATTGAGAATTCTTTGAATTTTCTTGTCATGAAAGTTTACTTTACCATGGGTTACTCAATTATACTTTTTTAATTATATATTTTTTAATTAAATATTTTCACTTCCAGCAATTTAGTATACCAAGTATTTCAAAGGTCCTTTTTCTTTCTTTTTTTTTTTTTTTTTTTTTTTTTGAAGAGGTTTTTGCTATAGGGTACGTGCGCTCACCAGAAAGACAAAGCAAGACAGAGACAGAAAGAGAAATCACCCCCATGGGGGATGGCCACGTCGCAATCCCTTCTCCTCCATTCCCCTCTCAGGATCTTGGACACACACACACATGTGTCTGGCATGAGTTTAAGCCACTGGGTCCAGGACTCAAATTGCAGTCGACTACATGGGAGTCCAGCAACATAGCCATTTCACCAACTGCTGGTCCCTCAAAGGTCCTTTTTACTAAATTATAATAAATAGGATCTTGCACACTTTAAGAAACATAATGTAGCCATTTATAGGTGCCTAAGAAAGTAAGGGAAATTTCCAGGGGCCAAGATACACATAAAATACAGTAAGCTGAAAATCTGGGCCCAGTCACAATGGTGTAGAAGTGGTGCAATGCTCTGCCATATTGAAGACTCGGGTTCAGTTCCTGGGTTGCCCTGTACACAGCAGCCACATGCATAGGTGTCTATGTTCTGGGTTGGCTGGGAGAGGCTAAAAGTGGATAGTAGCATAAGACCCTGTTGAGAGAGCTTGTCTTTTTCTCTCTCATGAAAAAAAAGAAATAAAATAAATTTTCAATAGCTGAACTGTGTAAGTAAACAGGAAATTCAAATTGTCCTGAGACAATACAAATAATAGTGCTGGGGCCAGCAGATGGTATAATGGTTATGTCGCTGGACTCCCACGTTGTTGACCAGAGTTTGAGTCCTGGATCCAGTGGAACAGTGCTGAGATCCATAGAATAAAGCAACTAAACTTGTGTTCCAACATTATATGTAACAAAAAAATGTACAAAAACTTTATGAATAAATTATAAAATTTTATTGAATGGAATAAAACATGCTAAATGAACAAATTATCTTGTTCATTATTAGAATGATAAAATACAATAAATATATCAATTCTTCTCAATTTGTTCTGTGTCAGTTATAAGGCCAATCAAAATCTCAGTAGTGGATTTTCTGTATAATTATATGCTGAGTTTAAAATACTGATTAATAAATGAAAGTTCAAAAATATGTGTGGTCCTTCAGAAACAAAATATGATAAAAGGCTTAGCCTACCAAATATCTAGCTTGAAAATGGAAGCTCTTTTGTATGTGTGTGTGTGAGGGGGGAGCCAAACTATTTAATAAATAGCCATGGAAGAACTGATTAGAAAAAAATTAATTTGAAATACAGCCTAAAATTATATGCTAGTATTAGTTGCACGTGGATTAACTACTTAAATGTGATGAACAAAACTGAAAACCATTTACATTAAAATATCATATGAATAACCTCAGAGCAGAAAATAATTTCTTAAACAAAACACCTCAGAATACTAATAATTAAAAGAAAAGTTGACTTTGCAGTAAAAATAAGAACTTATCAAAATATATACGATAAATATAATGGGCAAGCAACAAACTGGAAAAAGATATCTGCATTACATGCATTTAAAATCAATTACCTCTGGGACCAGCAGTTAGTATAATGGCTATGTTGTTGGATTCCCATGTAGTTGACTGCGGTTCAAGTCTTGGACCCGATGGCTTAAACTCACGCCGGGTGCATGTGCGTGTATGCCCAAGATCCCGAGAGGAGAATGGAGGAGAAGGGATAGTGGTGTGGCCATCCCCCCTGGGTGGGGGGTGATTTCTCACTTTCTATCTCTCTGTCTCTTTCTCTCTTTCCAGCGAGCACACACGCCCTATAGCAAAAACCTCTCAAAAAAAAAATCAATTACCTCTGGGTCTAGCAGATGGCATAATGTTTACATTGCTGGACTCCCATGTAGTTGACTACAGTTCGAGTCCTGGACCCGGCAGCTTAAAACTCATGTTGGGTGTGTGTGCCTGAAATCCCAAGAGGAGAATGGAGGGGAAGGAATTGCAGCATGACCACCTCCCCTGGGGGGATGATTTCTTGTTTTCTGCTTCTCAGTCTATCTCCTTCTCTACAGTGAGTACACGCACCCTATAGTAAAATATCCCTCTCAAAAAGTAAAATAAAATGAATTACCACCAAGAATACATAACTTACAGGTCAATTTAAAAAATTAAAATATGCAAGAGATATAAACAGAAATTTCATTGAAGAGGAAACAAGAATGATGTTTGACTATATAACAGGATATCTTTCTCATTAATAACAATAATTATGAAATCTGACATTTCCAAATGTTGGACAGAATACAGACCAAAGGGGACTCATGTACTCAGGTACATGAGTCTAAATGAATGCAACTACTTTGTAAAACAATTGCCATACTTTAGTAAAACTGACTTCATGAATTCCTTACAATCAAACAGTTCTGCTATTCTGTACTGACCCTACAGATATTCTTGCATATGTGTTTCACAAGACTTGTTCAAGAAAGCTCAACACCACTATTCACAGCAGCATCCATCTTGAAACCATCCAAATAGTTACCAACAAAAATATGACTACATTGAGATACACCCTCACATTATTTAACTGTGAATAAAATAAATTTAAGCTAAGTGCAAATTTACAAATGAACCACTCAAACATAAAGTTGGAGGAAAACTAGTTGCTGAAGAGTACATACAGTATGTTGCAATTTTAACTAACTCAAAAATAAGCAAACTAAAAAATTCTTGTTTAGCAAGTTATTTATGTGAGTTACAGCTATTTTTAAAAAGCAAAGACATAATTAGTCAAATATCTAACACATTGGCTACCTCTGGTAGTAAGGCCAGAGGGACAGGAGAGTACTACAGTTTAGGGTAATGGCAATATTCATGAACTTTATGTTGTATGATAGATTTATTTAAACACGTTCATTTTTTATTATGCATCATCACTTACATATATGTATAAACAAACATATATATAAATTGTCTAACAGTCCAATGTGTTGTAAAAGTAATAGTGATATGATAAATAAACTAGTAATTAGAAATAAGTTATTATTTTGAATTCACAATGAGATCATAATATCTCATCTTTTATGAACACGTTAGATGAACACAAGTTACCAAGGGAAAGAATGCAGACCAAAGAAAACCTCCAAATAAAAAAGAGATAATAAGTTATGGGCAATAATAAAATAAGCAGATCCGACTCACCACCAAGGCTTTCGATCGGTTACTTAGAAGTTTCTCAATATCCCCAGCTGCGATTTCCACCAGCTGCCGTGCATTGTTTGGTTCCACAGTATACAAATCTTGGTATTTCTCATAAATCTGTGTGAAGAGAAAGAAAAATTATTAAAAAGAATTGTAATTTAGCTCATATTTTGGTTACATTTCCATTAGAATATATTTTAAAACTATAAACAATTGACTAGAAAGACCTACCCTTTCCTTTCTTCATTTCAATCTTTTTGAAGTTTAGGTATATCAGGAAAAAGTATACGTAAATATAAATTGACTATGAGACTATCAACGTGTTAAAATAGTCAATGATGTGAACAGATAGTAAAATATTTTGTACCATCATTGTTGGTATGTGCAATTTGAAATTTGAAACTACACCCCTATATGCCCTCTCCAAACCTGGTATTAATCAGCAGCAGCATTTGAAGAAAATGGGCAGCCATGCTATAAAACACAAAGAGAATTGGAGCCTGAGCCATGAAGGATGGGTGTGATGAGCAAAGCTGGGCGAAGGATCATAAAACAGGGAAAGTATTGAGAGAGACTACACATTGTTTTCCCTTTCTGAACCCAAGGAGGCTGAAGTGTACGCTGCTAAACCTCCTGTAGACACAGTCGGTGAGAAAAAATATGAAACTCCTGTGAAGGTTCATCTGGTAACACAGGAAGCACCAGAGAAAAATCCTGTACAGAAGAGTTGAAAGTCATTGAAGTCTACGTTAAAGTTTTGATTAAAGCTGTAATGGTGTATTTATTTTTTATTCACAGTAATTACTTTGTTTTGTTTTTTTCTTAATCACAGAATCAAACTATACTGAAATCAAGCTTGGTAGCACAAGAAAAATACAACTACTTTCTGGCTCACCTCCGCGTCTGTGGAAGGATTTCCCTAGAGTGGCATCAGCTGCACCTGGTTTACAGCCTGTACACTCCCAGCAGGAGAGGAAGATTAAGGGAAGGGGGCAGGGCAGCAGTGGCAGTGTTTGGGGCTGGAGGGCTGAGCAGAGAAGGAAATCCCTTATGCACCCAACAGACGGGGTGCTTATGCATGACTGAACCATCTTTGAAAGCCAGGACCTGGCAGGTTTCTACTGTCTTATGAGAAGTGAATCCAGGCACATACAGGAACCAGTTCAACCCTGCTTTTCCCTGGCACAACTCCAACGTTCTGCTTCACTAGCAACAGGTTCCACAGCCTGCTACCAGCTGAGCAAGATGCTGCTGGTGAACGTCGGATTCAAATAGACAGAGAGGCTAAACTTTATCGCAGAACAAAATAGTTTTACGTGGACTTAAATTTTTTAATTTAACTGATTAGAAGGAAATGAATATTTTAAAATATTTATTTCAAATTTGTACCCTTCAAAAGTATTGATTTACTCAGATTCCGAGGTTCTGTCCATAATCATTTGAACTTTAACCTTGTAGGTTTTTGTTCAAACTATTATAGGCAAATTAATTTAGTGATATCAAATTCTCCTATTTTGTTTCTTTCAGGATTCCTGAGTATTACTGGATTGTTTATGGTTTCTGCTGAGGAGTGAATTATTGAGTCCTGTTTAAAGATCCAAGTTACCCATAAAGGATGCCCTCCAATGCAAAGCTCTCTCATTCCAGCCTAAGAAGAGATTCAGGAACATGAATTTTTGAATAGAATAATTGATTTGGGGTACAAATAGATAAACCTCGACTTCCTTTAATTGATCAGGATATTAAATTCTTTGCAGTAAAACCAATAGAGCTAATTGGTGTGATATGTACTTGTATTTTCTACTATTAATACTTTGTTCCTTTCTCTATGAAGTCTAACTCCTTCCTGTGATATGGGGAAATACAATATGCTTCATAATGGGGGGAGGGGGTTAGTTCAGATGTACAATCTGTATTCATATACTATAGGTAATGTCATTTATTAAATCACTACCTATGCATTCCAGTCACATTACTAGGCACTATAAAACATGTATGGATAATAAACCAAAATAAGCAATTTATTTTGAGTTTCTGCATCTCTGCTCACATCAAATTCTCTCAAATTCTTTCTAAGATATTAAAATACATACGAAACAAAAATAAAAGCAAGACCTAATTCACATATTTAATTAAATGAAGTGAAGACATAAGTCTAGAGCTCCAGTGTGAATTTTTGGATGAGCTACTTTATTTGTAAAACCACAATTAAAATGTTTCCTTTAGTAGTAAAAGTGAATTGATATTATTATATAAATCCACCAAAAGAACGAGCTCTTGCTTCTGATTTTATAACTACAATATTCGTGGGCCTGCCTAGTAGTACAGTGGTTAAGTGCTTTGCATAAGGAGGAGGATACCACATAGGAAATGAGTTAGAATACCAGGCCCCAGGTATGGGTGTGCCCCAAATACTGGCAGAATAGAGAACTGGAGGAAAACCGATCATGGCAGGATCATGTTCCTTAAGGGGGCACATAACCACACATGTGTACATTCCCTCTGACAATTAGAAAATTAAGGAATATAATATTCTTTATTACTGTGAAAGCTATTGTGAAGGCTCTCAAAAACTCTACAGAGTTTACTGTTTAGTAAACAATTTCCAGAGTGAAAGTTTCCATGTGGATTTAAGATAACACAATATACTCCCATCATTTAAATATATTCCTAACTTTTTCCACCACTAAAGCCACATTTCTACAATATCTAACATCAACATGTGAATATTTAAAACACAGCCTAAAGTATGCTTTCTTTTCTCTTCCTAGTTCCCCCCCCCATTTTGATAAATTAATTATCTCCTTTGCCATTTTATCTCATTTCTTTCCTGAAGGAAAAACAGCATGGTGGAAATAATTATGAGTTTTTGACTCCATTCAAATCATATCAACTTTGTGCACACTGAGTGATTTTGGTCTCTGTTTTTGTATTTATCGTTTTGTTTTGTCTTTTTCTCTCCTACTAGATAGAATGCAGCCGAGAGAGACAATACCTGACAGAATTTTTTCCTCTTGACTGATGATAGACTAATATGCATTAGTTTTCCTACAGTTCAATTCTTCCCACTGCCAACTTTGACTCAAGTCTTAACAAAAAGAATACTTGTACAGACTTTTTTTAAAAAAAAATTATTATTTTATTTTACTTTATTTATTTATTTTAATTTGACCAGATTGAGAGAGAGAGAGAAAGTGAAAAAGAAATCAAGCTGCCAGGTCTAGGACTCAAACCACAGTCGGCCATGTGGGAGTCCAATACCCTTAACTACCACACCACCTGCTGGCCCTGATCCTTGTACATTCTTTCTTTCTTAAAGTCTTAATTAACCAGCATTAATGTTCTTTCACTGATAACATTCAAAAACCAAGTTCTGCTCTGAGAAATAGATAGATAATGGTTTTCTTACCCTTTTCACTGTCTTTCTAGGTCTCTTTGGTCTAATTAAGTCCATAGTTCCAAGATAACTTCAAAATGATATATATTTATTTTAATTTGACCAGATTGAGAGAGAGAGAGAAAGTGAAAAAGAAATCAAGCTGCCAGGTCTAGGACTCAAACCACAGTCGGCCATGTGGGAGTCCAATACCCTTAACTACCACACCACCTGCTGGCCCTGATCCTTGTACATTCTTTCTTTCTTAAAGTCTTAATTAACCAGCATTAATGTTCTTTCACTGATAACATTCAAAAACCAAGTTCTGCTCTGAGAAATAGATAGATAATGGTTTTCTTACCCTTTTCACTGTCTTTCTAGGTCTCTTTGGTCTAATTAAGTCCATAGTTCCAAGATAACTTCAAAATGATATATTGATAAATAACCTCAAATATAACATCTAAAAGAAAATGACAACATTCATCGGGTATAATTGCTTAACAAAATTCCTAAGGAAATATTTTGGAAAGTATTATATTTAGTATTTATGCCATGGAATTATTCATAGATTAACACAGATACCCCAGAGATACTCACTGAAAACTAAGTACTGCTTTCAAGCTTTAGGTGACCTAGAAGATTAGTACTAGTACTCAATTTTAGGCAGCAACTCTCTATCACTTTTAGGCATTTCACATACATTTTTCATGCCGTTCAAGAAACCTAAATAATACACTTATTTAATCACTGTACTAGTAAGAACACTGGGATTGAGGTTTTGGAATGTCAGAATGGAGGAAGTTTGAATCTCATTTCATCACAAAAGAGCAACCACTGCTCAGAGCAGCCGAAGGTGAACAGTGATGGGGTATGTTTAGGTAAAGTGAGTCTGCAGTGGTACTGAAGCCTTGATGTCTCTTGGCTGCAGCAGGATGTGAGGATAAAGAAAGCCCCTTGAGATAAGCAGGAAAAGCAGCTGACAATTAAGGATGAGTATGTCTGCTAGGAGATAGCCTGGGTGCTGGATGAAGGGAATTCCAATGCAGAGGTTGAGAGCAACAAGCAGAGGTCCATGGATCATGGTAAAGAGAAAATGACAGCCAAAGCTAAAAGGCCCTAAGCAGGTTGAAGAGATGGCCAAGATCTCTGTAGCAGTCATGTTCAATACCTATGTCAACAAAACAAAAGGGAACAAATACACCAGATGTCTTGTCACATAAGGGTCCCATTAAACATAGACACAAAGGATCAAAACCAACAACATTACAGAGTATTAAAAGGGACCTGGATCTTAGAATTTACTAAATCCTTAATTGACCACAGAAAGTTATTTTCAACTGAGAGAGACTAACCTTCAAGTAGTGAGATTTTCTCCCCTCCTGGGAGAAATAATGGCAGCTCATGCCAAGTTAAATTTCCTAAAGAGAAACACAAATTTCTGCATAATAAATGTTAAATTTGTAGATTTTACAAACCTCATTTCCTCCAACGCTTATATGTTTACTTTCCTGCCAAGGAACTTGTGTTGGACATGTAGTTGAGATCTCTGCCCTGCCCACCACCATCTTTGTAAAGGAAGTTTCTCCTTGAGAGTCTCAGATGAAATAGGAGCAATAGGGGCCTCTGTACATGGGGCTGGTAATATTCCAATGCATGGCTTTACTCTTGGCCCCTAACCAATTGCATGAGGACTTACATCAGATCTATAAGCAGGTAACTTCTGAGTCAATGGTCTGTGACT